GTCTATAACAATGTAATATCAACACAAGACTCAATAAACATTAATCAAATAGGTTATCATGTAAATGAATGCATTTTTTCGAATATGAATTCAAGATAGGAATATTATCAGATCGTGCTGGATAAAATTTAATTATCGAACTGTCATAATACACAAATTATACTAGATAACGTCGGTTGAGAGTTGAAATGGGGGAACAATAGGTTGACTTGAAGTCTTAATACATGTTTCTCACACATAGTTTTCTTACAATCTTAAATAATAATTAGGATAACTTTAGCAGTAAACAACCCAAATCAACCAACGTCATTTGTTATGGCTACATTTGAGTTCAACATCAAATTAGTACATTTTAATTTAAAGCTTATTCCTCATGGGACGATACTTTTACTCATAAAATTATTACTTGTCAACGATGTCGTACACTTGTGTGTTTTTTATGTCGTTATCGGGAAATAATTTTTTTTTATATTAAATTTATTGATTCATAATTGGATTCGAATTTTTTAATTTGCTTTTGGGTACTGATCATATACCCTATATGTCTCATATCTTGTGCTCTTTTCAGGTGTTATCTAGCAGTTTATCAAAATTATGACAAAATCGAGTATCTACAATTAGAGCCTGTGATCGAAAGAATTTTTAGGTTACGATAGAAGATAACAAAGATTGGGAAAGATAGTGAAAATTAGAAATTGCCGAAAATCAGTTACTAGTCGATCAACTAGTTATACTAGTTGGGGACTACTCGATCCCTATTCCAACACACTCGATCCAATATCATCTATCCTTCTTTCGGGTAAGCTAACTATCATTTTCGACCAGATGTCATCAACTTGTTTTAGAACCTTCAAGACATTAGGTTATATGGGAAAGCCCGTGAAAATTCACATAAGCATAGTTGGGGATATTTGGCTCAATTTCGGTAATATGAAGATTGTTGGGATTCTTGTCTCCAAAGTTCTAACTTAAGAGATCTTATTACAAATAGGAGTTAAATTTGTTATCATGTAAAATTTCTTCTGATGGTTAATTCCTTTTGTTGGTTGTATGGAATTACTTGCTGATTGGAGGTGTTAGTCTCAGTTTGAAAGGGAAACGAATGGGCAGTTCTGATAATACAATTTTTTTCTTATATAAAAAAATCGTCATCATTTTAAGAGGAAACATAAATTTTTCTACAATTTGAGAAAAAAGTAATGATTTTCACCAATTAAAAATATTAAAAACATAAAAGCAAAAAATAAATTAAACGAGAAATGGGGTAGGGAAAATATCCCTACATAGGGCGGAGGCCGAAAGTGACTGCCCCGACCCCACCCTCGCCCTCGTTGCCATCCCTATAATTACAAAAGAGTTGAGAATTACCGTCAAGTTTGATTAGTCAAAATATACTTTACAAAGGGGTAATTGGCGCAAACGTCCCTACCTTTGAAGGTTTTTGTGGAAAACGTCCATATCTTTCGTTTTTTGGAGCATAACGTCCCTACCTTTCACATTCTTTGCGCTGAACGTCCTTTTTACCAATTTTTAATATA